GACCATCTGATGCCTGAAAACTTGTTAAACAGCTCTCCCAACCACACAGGTGTTCCAATAAAATATATCACAAAAAAAACTTTGCTTCTTAACATTAAGCATATTCTTATTCATTGTAAGGACATAGACATGTACTTAAAGTTATGAAAAAAATGTAAATGAAGTGCTTTAGTCATGAATAGATAGAGGATTGTTAATTTGCTAATACCAGTGGCCCACCAGCTGGATCCAGGCCCCAAAGTAACTAGATCCAACCCCCAACACAGGGGATCAGCAGCACGTAGTTCAGCTTTGTATGTCCCCTTCTCTGCTATGCACGGTGCTGATGATCCCCTTTACACCCCAAAGGTAAGCCCTCTTTCTCTCTCCCTCCCTCATCTCTGACATTGGCAGGCATCTCCCTCCACTCTCCCCTCCTACTGAAGGATAGTGTGACCTGCAGTACAGCCCAGTCACAAGCATTTGGCCCACTGCTCTAAAAGGATGAACTCCACTGGCTTAAGTTCTTTCCTGAAACAGGGCTATAAACACTTATTTCAGAGACATCATTTGTAGTGTCATTAGATCCAATGAATAAATGCTTGGAACTAATTTTAAAAAGGATGCTACTCAGTTTTCTGTGCAAAGCTGAAACTTATGTGAGTAATTTCATGTATACAATCAGAGTCTTGCACTAGACACTCTAGACAGCAATACCTTAGCTATCTATGAATCAAAATGCAAAAGTACTTGGGAAAACTGGGGGTCTTTTCACAATGTAAAGTTGCACACTCGGACTCATTTCCTAACTTTTCTTCAGGCAGGTAAGCACTACTGAAGCCTGGGCCCCACCTGGGCAGAAGCTACTCACTGCTACCTATTTTATTCAAAACCTATTCAATTCAAAATGCAGAAACATCATTAGGAACAGGGACCAAAATCAGGATTCCCTGCCTTCTGTGGCAATGACCATTTCACTGAGCCACATGCTGTCTAGCTTTCTCTCTCCTTGGTCCTAGTTATCTTTTCCTCTTGACTGTCTAGTGAGCCAGCAGGGAGGGGTGGAGGATACACTTGGTCCAACACTTTGCCAGGAAGTGGGAGATGAAAGATTCAAACCTTCTGTAGGAAAACTGGGCCTAGAACCTGGGTCTTTATGTCCTTCAGAAAGTGCCCTGACTACTAGGCTACTAAACTAAAAGAATCCCTCTGACTCCTCACCATTTTTTGTGACTTTCATACTTTCCAGGGGAGTTGAGTCTAATATCCATGTAAGTAACCCAGAATTCCACATATGCAGCTGTTAGCCACTTAAATGCCACGTAACTGTTGAAAAACAAAGCTGGATTTGGACCTATCTTGTGAAAGTTAGGAAATCTGTTCTCCAGTTAAGGAATGAGGGGGGGAGCTTTGTGTTTGTGATTCTCTCTTTGATGTCTGTAAAGATAATTTCTGTGTATTGTATTTAACTGAGTATATGTTTGGAGTCAAATGTTTGCCATTGAACATAGTCCAAGCAGATGGGCTATATCAGCTCCAGTGATCCATATAAGCGTCTGGAAAGATGAAACAATTATATTGATTTAAAAGGGTGGGGAGGTACTTACCATATGTCCAGCTGATCCTTTGGAACTGTTTTTTTTTTTTTTGTGTGACCGCTCTCTCCTCCAGTGAGTGGAAGCTAAATGTCTGTAAATTAGGCCCCTGGCAGATGTTCAATTAAAGGTGCAATACGATCTGATTCATAAGCCCAACAATCACTTTTCCTACCATGCTACACATGCATGGCAGGAGTTGTGATTCTGGGGTTGGGGATCAGATCTCAATCAAGCCCTTATTGTTGGTGTAACAAGTAGCAAACCAGCACACCTGACTTGGAGTGCCAGTCAGCCAATAAACAACCCCTACCTTGTGAGCCCATCAGAGCCTTTGACCCCAGTGCAGCCCTGTGGCTGGAAGTGCCAGTCAGCTGACTGGACCTCCCAGTCTCAGGTGGGCATCAGAGCCCTTGACTCCAGTTTGGTCCTAGGGCTGGGAGCCCCGATCAGGTGACTGGCCTGGCTACACATTCAATTTAAGCACAATGGGAACTTGTCACACAGTTATTACACGTATTTTGTGTAATAAATTTGTGTCTTATTCCCTATTTTATCACACCATGAATTGTGTGAATGCATGGCTGGGTTACTACTTGAGACATGCTTAACTAGTCAATCATGTCTTAAGTGTAATTTCTGCCAGAAACCTTAGGAACTACTTCATTCAAGAGTAACCTACCTCCATCTAGCTTTTACTTGGCACAAAATAAAGAAAAAGTGTTAAGTCTCTGCCCCTTTTCTAATTCTGTATAATTGTTTTATCAGTCCATATCTTAGGATAATATTTTATATCTCTGGTGTGGAACAGATGTAAAGTGCTTTGGGCACAGCAACAAAGAGGTAATAGCCACAACAGCTGCTGTGAAATATCCGCATTAGATATGCCAGTATGACGACCCAATGGATATGCCCACCAAGTCCCTCTGGGCACTGGGTTGTAACATGCCTCTGCTCTGTTGAAAACATGGGCTCTCCACAAGCAACTGCATTCCTTTTCCTTCTATAGCAGACTCCCAGCTATTACACTGCAGAAAGGTTCTTTGCAATCCTTACTTTGTTATCAACAGAAATATTTTTAAAGGTTCTCTCCCCTTCTTCAATGATTGTAAAACCCAGCCATTTTAACAAAATTCACATAGGCAAAAATGTTACCAGAAAATAAAGAATGGTACACAATAAAACAGAATGAAATCAATAAATATTAGCAAACACAATACACATAATTCATGCCCCATTTATTCAGAAATAATCAAGTGATAAATTTCTCTTTGAAAAAAAGAAAGAAAAATTCTCTTTGAATTTATCTTTTAAAAACATGCAATTACACTGGAAACCTATTCATGTAGATTCCAGGGATTACACTTACTTTGAACCCTGGTATCAAACAAAATTATTCAGATAGAATTATACAGAGCTTTTGAAATCTTCATTTTTAGAAGTGCAGATACAGTGTACTTTAGAAGTAAAAATATATATTTAAATTTTAAAACAATTTGTCTCAAGTTCATTATTTTTTCCTGGCTACCATTTTCCTACAAAAGAACATTATTTGTTTTCCTGAGTAGTAGAAAGGAGATGTTAGAATCCATTTATATAGTAAAAATGAAAACACAAACCATAAGGAGACATGGTTAGTATACTAATTAATGTGTAATTTAAGCAACATAGCTTCTTAAATATTTTTTATAAAAGTGAAAATCAATTATGTAAGTAGACACACTAATTAAGTTTTGTAACTTGGTAATTCAAAACTTTAACACATTTATGATAATGATTTGAACTGTATTGTTACAAGTTATCCTATGTATTTGCATTTTGGTGAATATGAAAGGGTACTTAAAACGTGGTCCTGATATCTAGTCCTGGATGCATAGACTTAAATAGGAGAACCTCTAAAAATAATTTTTAAAAGCCTCATATCTTCTCAGCCTACTTTCTCTAGCTTTCCCAGCCTAAAAACTAGTAGACTATTTCAAATAAATTAAGCCCATCATAAACAGCAAATTCTTTGCCTCTCTAATATCAACATCTACACCTCATAAGTCATAGATTTAGTTGTATAAGTAGTAGACTTAGTTGCATAAATTGTTCTATCAAACTGAATAGAGATTGCCCCAGAATTGATGTACTGAACCATTGATTCTCTGTGGTTATAGGGGACAAAACTAGGAGATTGGGCTCAAGATGCAGCATAGGAAATTTAGGTTGAAGTTTAGGAGGAGCTTTCTTACTATGAGGATGGTGAAGCATTGGAACAGGCTACCTAGAGAATTTGTGGTATTTCTATCCCTAGAAATTTTCAAGAGCAGGTTAGATAGACACTTGGTTGGCATGGTTTAATCGAGGATGATCCTACCTTGATAAAGGGGCTGAACTAAATGAACTTTTAGGGTCTCTTCCAGCCCTACTACCCTATGGTGATCTTTAGTAATACCAATCTTGTGGTTTCTTTTTCAAATACTTCCACATCTTTTCTTTCTTACAGAATTTCATTTCTCCAATGTCCTCTATAAATGTAAATTATTTATTCCTCACAGCATTACCTTGAAACAGGTTAATAGCATTACCCTCACTTTACAGATTGGGTACCTTAGCCCTAAAGTTTTAGAAGCATCTACTAACCGAAACTGCCAAAACTAAGAGGCACCAGGACATGACTACATTGACTCCATGCCACCATGAAGTACGATTTGTCCAAATGCTGGAAAAGACATAAAAATGGTGCTAACACTCCCCCAGCTCCATGATGCTTTGCACTTCCCCAGCAAAACCAACCCTCCTCCCCCTGCCCCCCTACAGGGTAGGCAGGCTAGCCTGGCCCAAAGCTGTCTGTTCCAGCTGAGCAGGGAAATATACTTAGCAACACCCTCCCCTACACACCACCCCAAATTCTGGCCAGAACCATTGCAGGTATCTGGCTGCATTCCTGGAATCAAAAGCTTCAATCTATGCAACTTATACTAACCTATGAAGACTGAATCAATTCAGCTTCAGGCTTTTTGACTATGTGTGCTTAACCTTAGAGGGCAACAGTAGAGTTTTTTGGGCCCCCTCCTGGACAGTCCTTGTCCTGTACCTTTATGTGGATGAACTGGCTAAATCTGGCCTCTGTCAAAGTAAGATATTTGCAAAAGAATATAAAACAATAATGTTTGTTTTGTCTCTCTCAAAATCTCAACACAAGTCATATTTTTAGTGAAGCTAAAGTGTATATGGATAGCAGTAGATTGTTATTTAATGAGTTCGATCAGGTTAGCAATCTTGTGATGCTCATCTTCCAGTGGTTTCTATTATTTTATGCCTCTTTACAACACAAAAATATTCAGTATGGTTTTTTTATATTTAAAATACAACAAAGCCTTTAATTGGAACATGTTTACTATTGCAACATCCACTGAAAACCATGGAAAAATCATACCCTACCTGCCCATATTTTGCAGCTAAATGCAGAGGGGTCCAGTACTGATTATCCACTACATTGAGATCAGCTCCATGATCCAGTATCAAGGATACCACATCCTTGTATCCATTTGCACAGGCCATGTGTAGCTGCAAGTAATAAAAAGGCAGTTTATTATTTTAGAGCATTAATCTAGGACATAAATGATTAATACATGTTCTAACATCCTCAAACACTTAAGGGGGAGGCAGGGAGCATAATTCTTTCAAAACAGGGAAATTACGAAAATGGGAAATGCAAAACATGTTTCAGAACAATATTCTCCAAACTGTGCAGGAAATCAGATAACATGTTTTCAACATTTATAATTTAGAGCAGAAAGATACAGAACAACATGAATGCTAGTCAATCATCACTGATTCCAGTCTATTCTCACCCAGACTTTTCTCTTTTCCCAGTTTTCTCTCCACCCCACCTCCCCTTCCCCAATACACCTTTTTTTTTTAACTTTATCAGTCCTAATCCTCTCCAGAGTCTCAGAAATCTCCACAAGTTTCACAATCAAGGCAAATTCACAAATTTCAACAGACCATGTCTATGGCCTAATTTTCCTTTGTCACGGTTTTTAAAGTCTCACATTAGAGCTGCTGCTGTTTTACCATTCTAAATTTAATGCATTAGCACAGAATGAAAATAAGTTCATTGGCTTGGCACGAGGGATGCAGGGGAAATCCTCATCAAAGAAGAAAACCATTTATAGTTTTGAACTACTGTTATGTTTTCCTTTTTTCTGGTATGGCCTCACTGCATAAAAGATTTGATTGATTTGAAGAGGACCCCTTGACCACTTAACTCCTCACTTTCTTAAAGAATTAAAAGTACAACTTGTCTAAGAAAGGAGGATGTTAGAGATGTTATCCTTATTGGGAGCAGAAAGGGCAGTATGAGAGCTGAGATAAAAAGGAAAATGGTGACAGAGGGGAAAAACAAAACTCAGAAAAAAATATTTTTTGTTCCTGATTGATTTTGGAAACTAAAAGTTAAACTGTGAAGTTTATTGCCATCAGTGCCTGGCTCCCCATATATCTTCATTTACATTTGTAAATTATTTTCATTACAGATAGAAAACAGTAATTAAAATACATTTAATACAAAAACAGACAGAATTTGTATATAAAATCAGGAAAGACACCCTAGAATAAATCAAATGCTACAAACTAAATGGAATATTAGATGAAAGTACAACATAAAATATACTGTATTGGGGATAATTTACCAGTAGGGATTCCCAGTATGAACTCCAGTTTTAGGCATGGAAAATAAGGGCATCTATTATCATATACTTTGAATGTCCCAAATGATTTAAGTTAGGAAATGATTTAGTTTATAGCTTAGAGGTATTTATTTTCTACTGGTTTTCTTCTGTGGATTCAGGCTTTTACCTCTGTTTATATTAGCAAAGGACATTGTAATTATGCTGCTTTAACCAGGAAGCTCAGTAGGGAAATGATTACAAAATAACTGCCTTTCCATAGCCAAAAGGGATAATCTCTGGCTAAATAAGCTCCCACAGTAACCCTACTATTAGGGTTTTGCAGTTCCAGAGTAGCTGCATGAACAGACAAACCTGAGGAGGGTTTGGGATTGGTTACTTTTTAGGATGTCTACATTGTTATTTAAAGTTGACCTGGAGGTCAGTTAGCTGAAACAACAGGAGTCATCTCTCCCTTTTCACTTGCTACTGGTAGCTACTGCACATTGTGTTTCCTTTTCCTTAAACAGAGACCTTCTAGGAATATATTTGTTGCTCCTATTGTGTTTGGCTCTACAGATAGCAGAGACAGGAAGAGGGGGAATTAGGAGTGAAACTTGTGTAACTGCTCCTGGCAGTCTTCATGTGTTTGCAGCTTGCAGTGCCAGGGCGAGTTCTTAACAAATCAAGAACTGGTGAGCCAGAGAGAGGTTTGACCTCAGGTCCCTGAAGTCTAGTAGAGCTTCTGCAGATGGGCTGGACTGAAGATATTGGTTGAATTTAGGAGCTTACATTAAGCTGGTCAGACTGCATAGGTTTGAAGGTGGCAATGCCAGTAACACTAAATAGCAATGTAGATATATATTTTCCCTGTATTTCTTCAACCATATTAACAATTTAGGCAGCTTGCTTTGGCTAACTTTTGACTGCATGTCTTTATTATGCATGTAGCATCTCCATAGAGCAACAGAGGGGCTCAAAGATGCATAAGAATGGTTCAGCTGTACACATCAGGGTTTAAACTGCTACTGAGTAGTGTGTGCTGAATACCTGAAAGAAAGTTATATCACTCCTGAGATGCTGTTTTACTAAGCTGCTCTGATATACTGGTGATGGGTCCAATGCAGCTTGCAATCATGGTGATAGGTTTACCTTCTTGGTATGTTTGATGTTATAGAACAGGGAATTTATTTGTCTCCAGCTTCTAACTATGGCTAGCAAAAGCTCCAGGCATGAAAAACTTTCAGAGAACATAAAATATATTAATTTACTTTTATTCTGTAAGAGTGAGCACACAGGAAACAGCAGTATTTACAAAAACAGACTTGCTATAATCCTATTAATTCACATGATGCTACAGCTTTTCAAGATTACCTTATATTTCAGCACCAGTTACTTCTCAACCATGAAATAAAGACTTTGAATCATATCACCATAAAAAAGTTTAATTTCCTACACTGGGGGTACATCTACAAGTACAATTAGCAAGTAGCCCCGTCACTGTCTACACATGAGTTTCAAGACACATAAGTACTCTGCCATAAGATACTACTTGTCCTAGACAGTACTAGCCTACAGTGGAGTTAATTACTGCACTCTAATAGGGAAGTATGCATATATGGTGATGCTTTACAGCACAGTTAATTAGTCAGCTCTGCAATAAAGCACATTTGTACATACACCCAGAGGTGAGATTTTTGCTATTGTCACCATATAAACAAATGTATTAGTTATAGCAGAAATACCTTTGCCAGATTCCACTGATACATATATAGCTACCATAGACTGGGTGACTTTTTATCAACAAACAGGAAGAAGAAATGCATTCACAAGACACGACTTTCACATAACAGAAATCACCAATAAAAGGAGGAAGAGCAGATCAATTTGTTGCAAGACAAAGGAGGCAGTTCAGAAACCAAACCGCCGACATAAAAGGTGTCCAAACAAAAATACCCCTTTTCTCCAGGATCTGAAAGCAAGTGGTCCTAGCAAGTGATAGAGTCTCTAAAGCTTGATTTGCTTGTGACACATATGCAATATGCATAATTGCATAATAAAATACTGTATGCTGCCTGACTCCAACCAAATGCTACTATAGATATGCCTATACTATATAGAGAGACTTTTTTTTTTTATTTTTTTAACTTAGATTGGCTTAGTAGATATAAGGCATGATACGGTAGCATCTTATAGACTAACACATTCAGAGATGCATATGTTTTCATAGAGTACAGACTACTTTGTCACTTGCTATGAACAGACTTGCAGAGAGCAGTTATACTATATAAAAAGGAATAAGATCATTTAAATAACAAGTGTCAGAAAAGGGGGAAGAAAGGAGGAGGCACTGCTGAAAGAGGTGAAGGTGGGTTGAAGAGATCAAATGGGAGAAACAAAGCAGTTAACTTACTGAGGAACATAAGGTTAAAAAAAGCTAGTCTAAGTAATGGAATAAGAATCCAGAATCTCTGCTGAGATCATAATACAATCCAGCCTATGAATGATACCCTGTCCACACTTTACAATCAAGTCAGTTTTTAAAAAATGTTGTTGTTTAAGAACAGCTACTCTGAGGTCAGTGATGAAATGTAGAGGGAAATTAAAGTGTGCTGCCATGGGCTTTTGTGTCCTCCTGGAATTGATGTCAGATCAGTGTCCATTCATTTTTTTCACTTAGGGATTGCCTAATCTATCCAATGTAGACATCCAAGGGACATATATATGGCATATACAACATTAGTAGAGGAGCAAGTGAATGAATTTCAGATGTTATCCATGTTTTTTGGTCCAATGATGATGTGGTTTGTGTCGATGTGGCACATACAGCTGGCATCTGGGTCTGTTGCAAGGCCTTGGTGAGAAGAGAAGTTAGGTAGCCTGTTGCTGGAGAGACATTGCTTGAGGTTGGGGGGCTTCCTGTAGGCCAGGACAAGCTTGTTTCCCATCACCACCTTAAGATAGTCCAGGAGGGTTGGAGGTCATTGATATATCCAAGATGTTCAAGCTGGGGGCTGGTATTGTAGCAGATCAGAGCAGGGTCAGAGTCTGGCTATGTTTACTTGAGTAGCTATGAGTTTGCAATTGCACAGTAAGTGTAGGATTCCCTGCTACAGATTCTTAAGGTGTATATTACTTAGTTAGTGGGATCAAAGCGGATGTAACTGCAATGTGGAGCTTGGATGTATACAACAGATTTAGTGGTGTGATGAAAACTGGTGGCATGGAGGTACTGTACCTGTTGGTTAATTTCCAATACAATGTGGTAGTGATGTGACCAGTGGAAAATGTTACCATGGTGGCCAAGAAATGAGTACTGTGGGTGGCATATTCAAGAGCCAGTTTCATGGAAGGGTTGAAGTGGTTAAAGTCCCAATAGAATTTCTCTATTTCTAATTCCTTCCCATTTGTTCATATCATGAAGATGCCATTGGCATGCTAGGGATGAGAGGCCACCTGTTAAGGAAGAGGCCTTCAAGGTCTGTCACAAATATACTGGCTTATACCCCCTGGGGGAGGGGGTATGTGTGTGCCCATAGCACTGCCATTCATTTCTAGGCATGAGGAGTCTGCAAAAATGAAATATTTTTTGGAAGACAAAGCAAGAAAGTGAAAAAGAAAAAGAAGCAGCATTATTGTCAGGGATAATGTTTCTTATGGCTTATAATCTGTCCTTAGAGGGAATGCTGGTGTAAAAGAGATGTAACATACATAGCAGCTAATATGGGGTTTGCTAGAAACTTGTCATGGTCCTAGATTCTTTAGAAAATCTGTGGTACCCTTCAAATACCTGGCAGCTCCAATGACAAGGGAATTAAGTTTCTATATAAGTGATGGCAAAGAAAACAGGTTTTAATTCAACAAAGGCACTCACATTCAACTCGGTCAGGATCGTGGGGATCAAATGGTTTAACTCAGCAGCTAATCTGAGTTAAGCTCTAAGATTCCATGTCTTTAAAGAAACATAATTTAATAACATAACCTTCAGCAGTGTAGAAATACACAGTGAATCAGTTATTTCATAGCTGTACCCATGCTGCTGCTCACTTGTTCAATTATAGTCTTAATTAATGGTTATTTAAAGATATCAAATATATTTAAAAATCTGAAATTAAAGATGTGATGATTCAGAGATACTGGGTTTTTTGTGAACAAATACAGGCCTGCACAGAGCTTTTCTGAAGCAAAGAACATACAGTAGAGTCAAAGCTTTGGACCTGAACCTTGTAAACATTTTTGTACTTCCAGTTTGATTTTATCACATTTATACACTTCATTCACAGGCCTCAGACCTTAATTAATAAGTGAGACCCAACTTACCAGTGTTACTCCTTCATCATTCTTTTGATTCACACTCCCACCATTTCCTATGAGTTGTCTAATGTCTGTGAGCATTGTCATAGGCCTCTGACTTTTCATCTGCCGCAGGGAGTTCAGATCAACACCTGTGCATAAAAAACAAAATGATTGAGGAGAAAAAGCTAAAACCTTCCCCCCCATGTCATTTACTGCTTTGTTTCAACAACAAGGAACACTTGTTTTGTTTTGATTTTTGGATTAGCAGGTGCCAAAAGATCAGAAGGAGGTACAAGTCCAATCTGTACTTAAAAATGTCTGGCTTGCGTGCTGTCAGCAAACATTATTCTCTTTAGCTTGGTACACTGCCAACTTATATTAGTGTAAATCAGAAGAATCTTGTCTGGAGTATCATTAAAAATACAAATAACAAAGATACTCTGTAATCACCAGAAGACACGAATCTCTTTTTTGAAGGTCATCTCAATAGACAAAAAAGGCAAAACTGGGACGGTGGCAAAAGGTACAATAAAACTATCCAGTGGTGAATCTGGCAACTAGCAAGACTTAACAGTTGCTTGATCAAGATACTGGGTTTGATTCTCCACAGCCCTGCACCAGATATAGTCATTTACACCTATACATAAACAGTCCAAACGAGTGTATATAGTACTGCCATTTGGACCTGGCCATTATTTCACTAGGGTTCTTTTCCTGCCCCCTGCCCCTGCCCCTGCCCCAACCCCGCCAAACACTCACTGTTTTTTGCAGTACTGGAAACCACAGAGGGTGGAAGGGGTTATTAGAATGTAACTAAATGCTTTTTTAGACCAGAGATGAAATGCTTTGTATTGTCCGTTTTTAATAGAATTGAAGTAACATTCAACCTGGTAAGTAATTTCAACTTTTGGAAATGTTAATCTTTATTTTTCCTGAAATAATTTGGGAAATTTACCATCAATGTGTGAAATGGTTAGTGGGGTAGGTTATAGGCATGATGGTCTAAGGACATAAGCAGACAAGGCTCTTTGGGTGAATTTGATGTCTTTTATTAGACCAACTTAAATAGCTGGAAAACAATTTTTAAGCAAGCTTTCA